GACGGTTCCCCCCAAATTATTATTTATTATTATTATTATTAAGGTTACCGAACGGAAAACTGTATTGAAAATTCGAGAAGAAAATGGAGAAGAAAATGAACGACGAACAAACGAACGGTCGAACGAACGAACGTACAAACGAACGGACGAACGCGTTATGGAACTTTTCGCAAAACCCACGTTTGTTTGTTTGTTTGATTGTTTCCAACAAACCATCCGTCGGTTTCACAGATGAATGATGATGATAATGATGATGATCCATGTTCGGAATAATCTCGCGAGGTGAACCAGCCCGTCTTACGCCAATCTCCCCCTCTCTCTCTCTCTCTCTCTCACATTTCAAGGACGAATTTAAATACCCGAATCGAGACGTATAACATAATTCGTCCGTGAAGTTTTTAATATTTTTTTTTTTTAGGGCTGGCCAAAAACGGGAAGAACCGCAACCGTAACAAACAAGTCGTTTGTACAACAATCTAGAAATTAATCCAGGAAAAATTTAAAAATTTTGTAAAATTTTTCTTATTTTTCTTTTTTTACTCCGACACGCCTACCTACGATCGATTCATCGATTCTCCTTAAAAAAAAAAAAAATGAGATAATGATGATGATGATAAATCAACGAACGTAAAAAATCTCTGGAAAATGGCGAAGTCCAAAATCAAAGGTTTTTTTGGACTTCGAACTTTAGCCCGAAACGAATAGAAAAACGCACGCGTTATTGATCGATACTAATTTTACGCATTCGTATATCATTAAAAAAAGAAAAAAATTTAACATTCGCACATTTTTTTTTTTTTTTTTTTTTACGTACTCCAACCACACCTTTTGTGTTAACCCCTGCCAGGTGTAAACCTTGACACGTTTTGACCTCATGTAAAAAATATTTTTGCTTTTTTTTTCCATTAGTCCCCCCAAAAAAAAAAAAAAAATTAAGAAAAATTAATTTAAATAACTTGCTCAATGTTTTTTGAATGAAGTAAACGGAAAGAGAGAGATAGAGATAGATAGATAGAGAGAGAGAGAGAGAGAGAGAGAGGGAGAAGGAAAATATTTTAACGATCGTAACAATCAATCAATCATTATTTAAACCATCTTAAACTCAGGTAAGAAAAAAAATCACGTGGTCCTTATCATCATCATCATCATCATCACCACCACCACCACCATCATCACCACCACCACCACCATCATCATCATCATCACAATCTTCTCCTTTCTACGGATTCATTTTTTGCCGAAACGTAACGAAATTAAACGTTTTTTTTTTTTTTAAATTTTACCAATACAGCATCCGAAAGGATTCAATAAAATCTCAAATTTTCATCAGAAAAATCTTCCTTTCGTTTCCTTAATTAAAAAAATAAATAAATAAAAAATAAAACGATTAGAAATTTTATCGTTGACCTGAAACTAACGTGAATTATTGACCTTTTTACGAATGTTCTAATAAAAAAAAAAAAGCATAATTCCAAGGAGAAAGAGAGAGAGAGAAAATCGATCGATCGATCGTTCGATCTATCGATCATATCGATTCTCTCGTACGTCAAAATTTAAATAATCCGCTTCGAGCGATCGAACAACAACAACAACAATTTCGCCTTCGAGACGTTTTTTAATTTTCAATTTTTTTTTTTTTTTTTTTTTTGAAAAACATGCAAATTTTTCCCTAAACAAACCTGAACAATAAATCAAACGTGGGGAGTGAGGAAGGGAGGGGAGGGGAAGGAGGGGAAAGGAAAGGAAGACAAAAAAGCACATACATCGACACAAACACGAGCCTATGACCGAAAACGTGCTTGACATTAACGATTCCTCCTCCTCCTACGCTATTTAAACGCCATTTTGCAAAAAATACATAAATATAAATATATAACAAAACGAACGACATTTTTTTCTCAATCAGACATTAAGATTGATTACTACTACAAACCCCCACCACTACTACTACCACTACTATTACTACTACTACTACTACTACTACTCGTCATTTTCAAACAATGTTTTAATACAAAAAAAATTTTTGTTTTTTTTTTTTTTTTTTTTTTTGTAACCGTTAACGTTTTCGCCATTTTTTTTTTTTTTTTTGATGGAATTGCGTCTTTTAAAAAATTTATTAGTCGCGATTATATATATATATATCGAATTTCTATAAATCAGGCTAATTTTGCTTTTTTGTAACTTGATCGCCGTTTTTTTAACTACATAATCGTAATAATAATAATAATAATAAAAACGAAAAACATCCCGTATGGTATGTATGTGTGTGTGTGTGTGTGCGTGCGCGTGCACCCCGTATGAATAAAAACGTAAACAAGACATTTCAAATAAACATTATAATAAAAATTATTATTATTATTATTATTATTATTATTAATATCGACTACATTTCTTTAAGCGTAAAGTAAAATCTTTTTCCCTCTCTCTCTCTCTCTCTCCGTCGCTTTTCATCGCACGGGGATAAAATCAAATCGAATAAAAAGAGAGAGAGAGAGAGAGAGATAAAGAGGAAATCAAACGATTTTCAAATGTCGATGTAAATAAGGAAAATATACGAGTGTGAAATTTGGAAAATATTTGACCAAACAACTGGAAACGATGCAAAACGATAAAAAAATCGAATTCGAAACCAGGGATATCCCGTAAGTTAAAATAAATATCATTTTCAATATGGCGACCACCATTTTTTTCTCTCTAACCTACAAAAAGAAAAAAAAGAAAAAAGAGGAAAAAAAAATAGAAAAAAAATGAGAAAATAAATATGGAGTTTAAAAAATTAAATCCTTCCATCTTTTTTTTTTTAAATTTATCTAAACCTTAACCTCCTCTCTCCCCTCTCTCTCTCTCTCCTCCTCTCCCCTCTTCTCTCTCTCTCTCTCCCCCTCTCACCCTCTTCTCTCTCTCTCTCTCACCCTTTTTCCCTTTTCATCTCTTTCCCTTTCTTTCACTCTCTCTCTTTCTCTTTCTCTTTCTCCCTTTCCCTCACCCCCTCTCTTTCCAACTCATTTACTTTGATCTATTTCCGACTTTAAAATCCTCATCGACAACTCTCACGGCACACACGCCACGCACGCACAAACAAACAAACAACGTCTCGTCACACACGAAAACGAAAAAAAAATCACGTGGAAAAAGAAACAAAAAAAAAAAAACCTAAACACACACACGTAAAGGAAGTCGACCATTTTTTTTTTTTTTATTTAACAACCTTTTAAAATCATCGTACGAAATTATTATTATTATTATCATTATTATTATTATTATTATTATCATTATTATTATTACTATTATTATTATTATCATTATTACTATTACAATCAATTTACGTTAACATAATAAAATTAAGAAAAGAACAGGAAAAAAAAAAAATCCCAATAAATCCGAAACCTTGAAAAAAAAAAAAAAAAAAAAAAAAAAAAGAATTCGACGAAACATTACCTGAAATAATAATAATAATAATGATGATGATGATGATAATAACGTATTTTAACGAACCGACCGACACGAAATCGTAATTTTTTATTTTATATAAAATAAAATTTTAAAAAAATTAAATTAATTATTTTGAAAATGACGTCATCACCGTGAGTAACATTACGTCACGAGTATTCGAGAAAAAAAAATGACCGTTATTTTTTATGCCGGAATCACGTAGTAAGGAAATGCATTTGTATATGCACACGCACGCACGAATTCATCCCTCTTCCTCCCTTATCCCCCCCCCCGAAAAAAATCAAACTTTCGACATCGATCGACATAATCCATTTATTATCATTATCATTATTATTATTATTAATACGTTACAAACATCAACGAACGTATCAAATTTAAATTTAAAAAAAAATTGCAAGGATTCTTACGTAATCCTCCTTATTTTTTACAAAAAAATTTATATTATTATTATTATTATTATATAGAACAAAACGAGACCGGTAATAACCTAACAGTAATAATAATAATAATTAATTATTGATTTTTCATTAATAATAATAATAATAATAATTAGTTTAAATCAAAACCCCCGATCGTTTATATTTATTTATTATTTAATTAATTACCAAAAAAAAAAAAAAAAAAAAAAAAAACGTTAACAAAATTCAAAATGGTGGAATTCGAATATTCATTTCAAATAAATAACAATCGATTGCAAAAAAAAATTTTTTTTATGTTAACCCTCCCCCCTCCCCCCCTCGTGTAAATAAACAATATATGATTATTCACTTACTTACTTATTAATTAATTTAAAAAAAAAAAAAAAAAGTTTTCAACGATTTTAATTTATATGTTATTCGATAGAAAAACGTTACAAAAAATTTTTTACAAAATGGAATTTTGTCCCCGTTTAAGAAGGTAAACAATGTCCGGGGTTTTTTTCCCCCCCCCCCTTCCCTTCTCATTCCGCCTTTCGAATAGTAATAGTAATAATAATAATAATAATAATAATAATAAAATTTACTACTCCCCAGTTTTTAAAAAACGTTTTCCCTTTTTGGATTTGTCAAATATCAATTGAATGAATATTTTACACTTCACAATAAACTGATAAACTCTTTACACTCGCGTGTATAAAAAAAAAAAAAAAAAAAAAAAAAAAAAAATGGTTATTATTCACCACAGACGACGTACAAAACGAGAAACAGACTTCACCAAACCGTTTACAAATGCATTATGCAAAACTTGTCAAAAAAAATTATTTGTTTGAATCATCGTGTTCGCAGATGAACAAAATCATGTTGGCAACGCTTAATTTCTTCGTGTCAATAGACCGACGACAAAAAAAAAAAAAATTTTTATTTATTTAACACGTCAAACATATAGCAACAGTCGGTCGGTGTGTGACTTTTTTTTTTTTTCTTACCGTATGTTTCTATTATTTCTTCGTCATGTTTTCAATTATTATTATCATCAACTTCTTTTTTTTTTTTTTTTTTGAAAATTTAAATTTTTTGTAACGGTTTTGTTTTATTATTATTATTATTATTATTATTTAATTATTTAATATGGGTAGTCCTCGTACTCGTAGAGTTTTACAAGAATTAAAATCAATCAATGATAATTCAGTGAGTGTTACAAACGGTCAAAGTATTTATATGTACATTTCTCTCTCTATCTCTTTCTCTCTCTCTCCTGTAATTAATTAAAAACATTTTATTAATATTAATTACTTGTTCCTATTTAACTTTAAATAAAAAAATCCATCATGACATCATCATCATCATCAATGCCTGGACTTTTTTTTTAAACATTTAATTTATCAAATCAGAAAACTTGACCTTTTGAACATTTATCTTCTTAGCCTTATAATATCTTTCACATGAATGTTCTTAACTCCTAATTAACTAATAATTATTATTATCATTATTAAAATGTCGCATGTAACATAACAGATCACATCAATTCCTGACTTGCTAAAAGAAAAAAATGTATTCGATATTAACTCCATTCTCGTCTGTAATGTCAAAACCTGTAAAACTTAATAAAACATATAAAACTAACCTCAAAATAATAATAATAATGATGAATTATTATTATTTTTCTTATTCTGGATAGAAATGTTTCGAATGTGGAGCTCACAATCCTCAATGGGCTTCTGTTACCTATGGCATATGGATTTGTTTAGAATGTTCTGGAAAGCACAGAGGCCTTGGAGTTCACTTATCCTTTGTCAGGTCCATAACAATGGACAAATGGAAAGATGTCGAATTGGAAAAAATGAAAGTCGGTGGTAATAAAAATGCTAGAGAATTTTTAAACGCGCAAAAAGATTACAATGATTCAATGCCGATTCAACAAAAATACAACACAAAAGCAGCCGCTTTGTATAGGGATAAGGTATGATAAACATTTGCCCCCACACACACAATGTTGAGCAAGTAATATTTACATGTCAATCGATATTTTTTTTTTTACCAACTACAGATTTCAGCCCTTGCACAGGGTAAAAGTTGGGACATATCCTCATCGTCAGCCCAAAATTACATAGGAAATACCTTAAGGTAAATTCTTTTTTTTTTTTTGCATGACAATCATTCGAAACAAACAAACAAACAAACAAACAAGTTTAAGGATTTATATCCTCGTGTTACAGTAGCAGTACTCAGTCTTTGACAACATCATCAGCATCACATAATCAAAACAACAGTTATGGCGGTTACCAAAATACCGAATGGAATTCCGATTATCATCATTCCGGTTCATCCTATAATTCCTTGAGCAACGATCCGGGTTTCAAAGATCAAAAAGAAGCATTTTTCGCAAGGAAACAAAACGAAAATGCTCAGAGACCCGAGTGAGTGTCGTTTTCTTCGTTCGTTCGATACATCGAACGATATATCGATTTATATCTCATCATTTCATAATTTTTATTCGGTTTCCTTTTAGCGATTTACCACCGAATCAGGGTGGAAAATATTCCGGTTTCGGTTATACCATGGATCCTCCGCCACGTTCGACATCTCAAGAATTCGTCGACAATGCTCTATCTTCCTTAGCTAGCGTGAGTTTTTGTTATGTTAACCGAATCGAGGTCGCTTGAAATGTTGATGATAATGATGATAACATCGTGTTAAAAATAAATAACGATCCGATTATTATTATTATTATTATGTTCGAACAGGGTTGGTCCTTGTTTTCCGTGTCGGCAACGAAACTTGCTAGCAAAGCAACGGAAAGCGCTTGTAAAATCGGTGAAATGGCATCGAATAAAGTGGCCGATCTCAGTCTGACGGTTTCGGAAAAGGTAAGCGAATGAGTCTTTCTTTCTGTACCTGACAGGCACTTTCGTCCTTTTCAATACAATCCGGGAGACCTGGAGTCAAAGAAGAAGAAGACGTCGGAAATGGTTATTTCTTCACCCTTTATTTTAAGCATTTTCCTCACACCCTCCCTCAACTTTGTTTTTTCTGACACGCCCAAATTTGTTTTTTTTTTCTTTTTTCTTTTTTTTTTACCTGCATGAAATCATCATTATTATTTATTATTATTTTATTATTTTGTCACGTTTTTTTTTTGTTCGTCATCAGGTAAAAGAAGGAAAATTATTAGAAGAAGTTAGTTCTCAGGTTACTAATTTAGCGACAAAGGTAAGTCTCACATTATTATTATTATTATGATGGGTTATTAACGAGGGAAACGTGTGGTGGTTGTAGTAATCACGTGGAAAATTAAATTTTTTCTATTAATTTCTAAACTTTTTTTAGGTGGGCGATATGGGTAAGAAAAAATGGAAGGAAGTTTCCGGGATAAGTTCTTATCAATCGGGTGGTGATTACGACAGCACAGGATTACCGGAAAAAACGTCGAGTGAAAAATCATCCCTTTTATTCGAAGGACAAGGAAGTTATCAAAGGTGATTTCATTTATCGAGAAAGAGAGAGAGAAAGAGGAAACGGAAGTGATGGTGAAAATCCGAAAAAAATAAAATCTCGTTTGTTTTTATGGCAGGTCAGCGACGTCACCGAATTCGACAAACGATTGGGAAAGTGTCGACAGTTGGAAAAGCGGAAGCGGAGACGGCGGTTACAAGCCGGAAAAACAATCGAGTCATCACAGTAAAAAAATGACCAATGCGGGAAATAACGGCGTGAGCAGTAGTGGGGGTAGTGGTGGTGGTGGTGGTAGTAGTAGTACGACCGGAAGCAGAGAAAGTTCTAGAAAAAAATCACAACCCAAAGAAGGTTTGCTCGTGGATTTAGGAGAGAAAACGAATTGGAATAAAAAATGGGAAGATGACGAAGCGTGGGAAGCCCTAAATAAATAAAAATGAGAGAGAAAAAGAAACCAAAACAAAATAATGAAATCCCCCTCACGCGGGAAATGTTTTGTTTTCTCTCTCTCTCTCTCTTCCCATTTTACTTCTTCTTCTTCTTCTTCTGCTTCCACGTTTCCCCCGAACGTTTTATCCCTTCGAAAATTGTAATTTTTCATTAATTACAGTAAACCTATATCAATCATACGTAATAAAAAAAAAAAAAAAAATTAACGATTCGATCGGTGGTGCTACGCTATATAAATACATATTAAAAAAAAAAATTTTATTAGTTTAATTGTTATTATTATCATTATTATTATTATCATTTGACTACTGAAAAGAAAAATTATTTTAATCGAATGGAAAAAAAAATCTAAAGAAAAACATTATTATTATTATCATTATCAATATTCCAAATATATAAATAAATATATGTATAAGTAAAACGTGATTTTTTTATAATGATGATTATCCTCTCCTCTCCTCTCCCCTCCCTTTCTCCCTTTCCCCCTACCCGTAAAATTCCTTCACCGTCGGAAAAGTGAAAAAAAGAAAATGAAAGAATATAGAAGGAAAAAAAAAAAAAAACAAAAAAACAAAAACAATTTTCCTTTTGTTTGTTTGTTTTTTTTTTTTTTTTTATTTCTTTAAATTGCAACAATTTAATAATAATTTTATTTGTTAATAATAATAATAATAATAAATTACATACAATATAATACACGAAGAAATAAAACGATTCCGTCGGAATAATAATAATAATAATAATAGGAGCAGCAAAAGTATTATATAAAAAAAAACAAACGAATTGTTAAACTCGTATAAAATTAAACAAACAACAATCATCCATCCAGCCAGCCAGACAAACAATCGATCGATCAATCAATCAATCAATCAACAATCAATTAAACGCGAAATAATCAATTTAATCTATCGTTTCGTCATACGGGGGAGGGGGGAGGTAAAGGAATTTTGTCAAAAGGGGAGGAGAATTGGATGGAAAAATCAAAGGGACGGGAAGGAGTGGGAGGAGTCTTGGCGACGGCGGGGGTGGGGGAAATCGCTACGGTCATCTACACGTCATCGATTCTCAAATTTTTTTTCCCCTCCCCTTCCATCCCCGCTTTTTAAATTTCTACCGTTACACCCAAACATCACCATAATTTTCTTATACGATCGGAGGGAATGGAGGGGAAGGAAAACGGGGGAGGAAGGAGAAAAAAAGGCGCAAAATTTATTATTATTATTATCATCATCATCGAATACGTAAATTTTAGAATAAAACAACCTACAATTAATAATTTTTTTTTGTTTTTTTTTTTTTTTGTTTTTTTTTGAATTCAAATTAATTCATCATTAAAGGCTTAATTTAAAAATCTAAAAATTATTATTATTATTATTATTAGTATTAGTATTATTATTATTATTTGTAAATTTATTTAATAATTAATTTTTGGAATTCAAAAATATTATCATTATTATTATTATTAATTACACGCTTTGATGTAAAAGGAAAAAAAAATTGAGTGTGGATGAATGAAAATGATAGTGGGGGTAGTGGTAGTGGTGGTGGTGGTAGTAGTAATAATAATAATAATAATAATAGTAATCGTAATAATAATAATAGTAATAGTAATAATAATAATTTATGGAATGGATAAAGTGCCGAATGATTAATTATTATTACATAATAAACGATATCACAGAACGAAGCTTTTTTTTCTTTTCTCCTCTATCTCTTTCTCTTAATTTTTCCATAGATTATAACCTTTTCACCTTTAACCTTTTCCCCTAACAAATCCTTACGCCTTTTTTTAGTAAAAAAAAAAAAAAAAAAAATGAATTCTGTACAATGAATAGAATAAGAATATGATGAGACGAGATTAAAATTATAACGGTTAAAAAAAAATGATAATAATAATAATAATAAAAGTATAAAGAAATTTAAAAAATGACGCGGGAGAAAATGTTTCGTAGAAGGGTGACGAGGAGGGCGGGGGGTGGTGGGGGGGGGTAGACTCGAATAGTTTAAAAAAAAAAAAAAAAATTTTTTTGTTACCTTTTTCGCATTAAAAATTTTTCTAAAAAAAAATTTTTAAATTAATATTTTTCTTTTTCTTTTTTCCCCCTTTTCTCTCCGCCAAAATTTAACATAATCCCTCGTCGTCGTCATCGTCGTCGTCGGCGACGGCGGAAGCGGAAGTGGCAGCAGCTGCACCAGCATCACCGCCGCCTCCACTTTCTTGTCTCCCATCTGACGATTCACCTTTCGAATGCGTTGATTTCTGCGTGTGAGAAAAAATAATAAATATCATTTTTTATATATATATATATATAGATTACGAATAAAAAAAAAAGGGAAAAGGAAATAGAAAATTACTTCAACGGTTGCTTCCACGACGGACGTAGAATTCGGCGACACGTACGACGGCGCCGCATTTTCTCTAACCATGGCCTTGGGCGCCGATATCCCTTCAGGTAGAGGAAGATCTCTCGCCAATCTCGCATATTCCACATCCATGTGTTTGATAAATGGATGATTTAATGCTTCGCGAACTAAATCCGGATCCTCGTCGTCGAAACCCCGTAGTAACAATTCCAAATTTTGTACTTCCGGAGCTTCGCAACAATTTCCCCATTCCTTATATGCTTTTTCTGCTGCCACGTAATCTCCCCTTGCTAATTGTACTAATACCAATGCAACTGCTAACCTACCGATTGCTGGAATGTGATCTGTTTGTTGATGAAAACCGATTTCTCGTCTAATTGCATCCGCTGCTTGATCGTACCTGAAAAAATATGATGACGTCAGTGGAAAATTCATCAACAATTAAACATTTCGTATAAGAAAAAATTTTAATTTAAAAAAAAAAAAAAAAAAAAAAAAACAAAACACTCACATTTGAAGCTTAACTAATATCCTAGCTACTTTACTCATAAATTCAGCAGCTTGCCTATGACTATCTTCAATCTAAAATCAAATAATAATAATAATAATAAATTTACAAAATTAAATTTCGAATTGAAAACAAATCATTTTCTTCTTCTTCTTCTTCTTCTCTTACTTACCAAAACAACATCTGCTGCTTTTTGATATAATCTAAGAGCTTGTTCAGGTTCGTGTTGTTCGAGTATTTTAGCCGCTTTATCTAAAGATGAAGCGCCTGATTCCGGTGAGCCATGTTGCTGATATAAACTGCATGCTTTTTCCGCAAGCTGTGTCACCTCTTTAAAATCATTCAAATCTTTAGCCAATAAAATTGCTTGATCTAAACACCTAAATAAAATTTTTTTTTTATGTATGTAATTATCCTCTAATTAAAAATTTTCTTTATTATTCGATTTTATTCGACTTACTTGGCTGCATGAAAAAACGAATGACTTTGCTTGTGACATTCGGATGCTTTCATTAAACAATCTTTACTCCTTTCAAACGATCTTGCATTTCTAAAACAGGTAGCTACCAAAATAAATAAATAAATAACGTCAATCTAAATCACGCAAAACCTTTTCCTTTATTATTATATTTTTTTTTTAACGACAACAAAGATGTGGGTGGTGTTGATATTGATTGCGTTAGAAAACTCATATATATGTAAAAAAAAAAAAAAAAAAAAAGGTAATAAAAATTATTATTATTATCGTTATTACCACGTATATCGAATGATGATGATGATGATGATGATGATGATGAGTAAGTTTAAATTATGTACTCACCCGCTTGACTGTATTCATCGGCAGCAACTTCATAATCGGGTCTCCATTTTAAAAATGATGTTTTCAAACTGAAAATAATAATAATAATAATAATGTCAGACTGTTTGAAATAATAATAATAATAATAATAATAATAATAATAATAAAATTTAAAAAAAAATCAATTAATTATGACAGATACACAATGAATACATTTTGCCGTTAAAATAAAAAAAATTTTTTTTTTTCTCTCTCTCTCTCTCTCTACTCGAATCGTATGCGGTTGTCTATATATATATATATATATAAAATCTAAACGAATACTCGATTTGCTTGATGCGAGTAAAATGAATAAATTATACGTCACCTTTTTTCAGCGAGTTTTATTCTCTCAAAACCTTCTTCGAGTTTTTTTGTACTAGACATTTTTCTTCACTTTGCAGACGGCATTTGCTTTTTATTGCCGTCAAATATCCCCGCAGGAGCACAACGAAATCTGCAATGCAAAGCCTCCGAGATACACAAAAAATTTTACATTATTCATTTCGTCTATTATTATTATTTTTCTTCCCCTATAAATATTAAATTAATAATTTTTAAATGCGACAATTTTCGACAATGATAAAAAAATTTTCCACTTCCTCCTTCCGCCCCCCCCCCCAATTAAATATTTCCGATCGAATTTTTTTTTTTTTCATTGTTATCTCGGAGGCTTCGTTAGGGAAAAAAATTCATGCGTTAGGTAGATAATGAATTGCTCCTTTAATGGCGGATGCAATTTGTTGTTTATTTGTTCGTGCCTCCTTCCCCTAATCTGCTTTTTGAAATTTCAATTATAATTGTAATATTTATAATTTTTTTTTTTTTTTTTTTAAAATAGTGTACGCTATTGTTTGTTTTCATTGTTGTGAAATTGTTGTTGTTTTTCTTCTTTTTTTTTTAATCATTATTATTCTTATTATTATAAATGATAAAATGTAATCAGAAGTAACGAAAAAAAAATTAATTAATTAATTAATATTTACGTTGTTAATACTACGACCGAACTGTCTTTTTTTTTCTTTTTTTCTTTTTTTTTTTTTTTTTTTTTGGTGTCTTATGTTCCGTTTAAAATTAATTATTATAATTTGTATTTAAGTATTCATATTATGTACCTCTATCGAATTTTATTTTCCGATGGGGGTCAAAAAATAATATGAAAAACAATACATCATGCAACCGTAATAAACCCCCTCCTTCTCGTAGTTCTTGTTTTAGTTCTTCACTTAGAACGATGAAAAGTCATTTGAATCCCGCTCCTGATCGACTTCAGGTTACAATGCAAGGGTTCAATGGGTAATTATAATAATAATAATAATAATAATAAGTTTTATGTTACTCGAATAAAAAATTTTTAAAACCCTATATACCCTATTGAAATAAATGTCAAATTTTTCTTTTAGAAACAATGACAGAAATAGTGATAAAGTTTCTGGAATAAATTCAGCAACCCCTGCTCCACCGAAAGATATTTCAGATTGCATTAGCAGTTGGGTAGCTTACCTTCAGGTAATTCAAGCATTATTTCCCCCCTTCAAATCTACAAATTTGAAGTTCATCATCCATTTTGGTTTTTCCTAGATGTTGTCAGGTTTGTGTAATGCAGGATCACGATTGTCACATTCACTGACCGGTTTACTACAAGACACAATACCGAATAATAGAATGATGATGATGCAGTGCCAAACAATGTGGGAAGAACTTGTTAAAGCTTCCACTGTTGCCAGTTCGAATATCAAATCACAAATTTTATCAACGCTTCAGGAATATTCGCTGATGAACGATGCAGAGTCTGACATTCAACGTACTAGTCAGGTAGGTACCTGAAAAAAAAGAAAAAATTTCATCACATAAATAACGAAACATAATTTTAAATTTTTAATTCCCTTTTCCAGATAATATACAGTAGTCTAGTCTCGTTTATAAATCTTCAATATCAACTGAGTGCAGCTTGTTGCGAATATTTAGGACCCATAGCAGGTTGTAATTGTGATTTATCTCAAAAACATGAGCCTGACTGCAGCGTTGGCATGATCCAACAGTGTTTTCAACGATTATTTCCCTATCCCTCATTCAATTCAATTCACAAGGGTGTTAAAAGTCCTTCGCACCTTTCCATACTTCAGGGTTGGTTAACCGTTTCAATGGTTTAACAATAGTTAAATTTTTCAATGAAAACAAACTCGTTGATTTGATTTTTCGTTTACTTCTTCAGTTGCGCAGCGCCGCTGGTCGGAAGCTGCCGCTCAAGAAGTTGCCGGTAGCGGAGACACCGATGGATCCCTTAGACGTTGGTCTATGCCGTGGGAAACGTCGAAATTAACGGAACATTCATCGGGTTGGCCAGGTAGACTTCATTCGAAACCAAAACTAACAGTTCCGATATATAATTCGCAAGAAAGAAGTCGTTCGGTAACTCCAGGTGTGTTCTCTATCACAATAATAATAATAATAATTTTTTTTTTAAATACGAGTAAAAACTCTCAACGTGGCGGCAAACATTTTTTTTTTTAAATTAGAATCCGTTTGGCATTCGAGCATGACGAGTCAGGAAGAATTACAGGAAGTAATCAAATTATTATCCTGTCCGGTGCCATCTGTTCAAACATCTTTGTATCAGCCAAATCCAAAGAGTCAAGTACCTGGCGTTACGTTGACGGGTTGCAGTTTGGACGTTTTCAGTCACGAACCCTGGTCGGAATCCACGACTCCCGGATCGAGAAGAGGGAGTCATTCTCCGCACAGGGGAAGTTGGACCGTTCCCGAATCCATTTCTCACACGTGAGCCTTTTCAAATCCGTTCGGTTGGTCATTGCGTATATATGGCCGATATATAATCATTCCACAAATGTTTTAGATGGAGTGAATCCATGAGCGGAACGGAAAGTAATTACGAATTGAATCCGGCAACTTTTGCATCCCGGAAAAGCAGTTCGTCGACGGATTCGTCTTCGAGTCATTCACTTCACAGCAGATCCACGACGGGATCCTTATCCGGAGCTTCTGGAAGTTCCGAATCGGGAGGAATGGTGATTGATCCTTTTTTGTGATGATATACCTAACAGGAATCGGATATTTTCCTTTCTCGCGTAAATTGTACCTTTTTTTTTTTTCTTTTTTGTTACAGGACGGTAGACCCCAATTATACTCGATGTGGAGCGGAGCGGATTTGCCATTCATTAAATTACCAGACGCAAACGAAACAATCAAAGAAAGTTCTTCGGAACCGCAAGTCGGTCCTGAAAATCGAAACACTTTATATTTGCCAAAATCTCATTAAGTAAGGCCTCTGAAGCAAAAAAAGAAAACTCGTTCTCCTCACTCCCCCCCCTCCCCTCTCTCCCCCCAAACAAAAAAAGAAAGAAAAATAATTTTTGTAATTTTTTTTTTTTTTTTTTAATGATAACCCATAGCAAAGCTGGCTTTTGCTAGGAAAAAGAAAAAAAAAATTAAATTATTTTTAAAGTTCAATAAAAAAAAAAAAAAATTAATTCTAAAATTAAGAGAGAGAGAGAAAATCTCGAAACTTCGAGTTATTTTCGATTAATCGATTATCGTACTTTTTAAAAAAAAAAAATTATTTTTATTATTATTATTATTTTTTTTTTTTTTTTACAAGGGATGGAATAATTAATTTTTCCGTTTCTGAATTTGACTGCCTTCTTAGTTGTGATTTTCAATCATTCATTTTTTTTTTTTTTTTTTTTTTTTTTTTTTAAATTTCGAATGCGTTGATCGCAATTTCAATTTTTTTTTTTTTTTTGCGCTCGTTAATATATTTCACATAAACGACCGCAAAAAAATTTAAAAATTTATAGATAGATAGATAAACAATTATTTGTATTTTTTAAATTTCGCGTTTTTTTTTTTTTTTTTCTAAAATCATTGAAAATTCTTACGTTTTTTTTTTTTTTTTGTATTGTAAAAATAAAATAATGTAATGAAAATAAAAATTTATTTAAAGAAACCGAATTCAAGTTTAACTAATAATAATAATAATAATAATAATTAATAATAATAATAATAATAATAATAATAATAATAATAATAATTAATAATAATAATTAATAATAATAATTAATAATAATAATAATAATAATAATAATAATAATAATAATAATGAATAATAATAATTAATAATAATAATAATAATAATAATAATAATAATAATAATAATAATAATAATAATAATAATAATTTAATAATAATAATAATAATAATAATAATAATAATAATAATAATAATAATAATAATAATAATTAATAATAATAATAATAATAATAATAATAATAATAATAATAATAATAATAATAATAATAATAATAATAATAATAATAATAATAATGATTCAAATGACTACGACGACGACGTCTGCAAATCTTTAAGATTATTACCAAAAAAAAAAAAAAATGGGATGATAAAATTAAACGACATTCAATTTTTCGAAAAACGGAAATCAGGTTCGATTTCTTACGTCACACTCACTCACACACGCACGCACGCACATAATGATAATAATAATGATAATGTTACGACATTCGATTAAATTTTGACGACTACGACGACGGGTAACGAAAATCAAATCAAATTCATTAAAAAAAAAAAAAAACGAGAAAAATTGTCATCGCAATTATCATTATCATTATCATCATCATCATCATTATTATTATTATTATTATTATTTTTTTTTTTTTTTTTTTTAAATTTCAACGGTCGTCGCCAATTGACTGACGAACGTCCGCCATTATCATTATTTCCGTTAGTAGAATCCGTTATAACAAAAATAAATAAATAAATAAATTGTTTGAAATCAATTAACGATAATTAAACAATTAACGAAAAACAAAAAAAAAACAGGAAATTAATTAATAATTAAATCAAAATTTTTTTTGTTTTTCAAAATGGCGGCGAACGCATTATCATCATCATCATCATCATCATTTCGTATAAAAAAAAAATAATAATAATAAACAAATATATGTAACGTCAATTCGACAAACGTCAATTTTTTTTTTTTTTTTTTTTGCAAAGATCATAACTTTATAGTACGTAGAGTTTCATTCATTTTGACGACTACGATAATGATAATAATAATAATAATAATAATAAGTCCCTTAGGAATCGGGTGGAAACCTGGGATAAATGCTTAATAAAAACCCCGACAAATAAGAGCCTTGTCGCGTTTTAGAGTGACCATAATAATAATAATAATAATAATAATAATGATGACGGTGATGACGGTGGTGATGATGATGATGATGACGATGATGATAATGATAATGATAATGATAATGATGATGATGATGACGACTTTAATTTTTTTTTTTGTTAATGTTTAATTACGCACGAACGCGGAGCGAACGTTTTTATCATCAACATACCTGATTAATGTATTTTCCTTATACGCGCGTCCATGTTTTTTCACAATTTGTCTGAACAAATTGAAATCCCCTCATAAATAAAATAAAAACGATTTGTTTATTTATTTATTGACCGTCGAACCTGAAACGATAAATAATAATAATAATAATAATTTTTTGTTTTTTTTTGTAATATTTTTTTTTTTTTTGACGTCAAATTAACCAACGATTTCGAATAAATAAACGATTTTTTTTTTATTTTATTTTGTTAATACCGCGAAATTATTAATATATATAATAATATAATAATAATAATAATAATAATAATAATAATAATAATAATAATATATATAGAATCATTCGTCGTCTGCTTTCAAAAGAAAAATCAATAAATAAAACGTTTTCGGGAATTCCATTCAATTTAGAAAATTTCATTCCTCGATAACAACCCTTAATCCCGATCCTTTTCCTCTTTCTTCTTCCACGTCGTTCTCCCGCCCCCCACCCCGCCCCCGACCCCTTTATACACTTTTCAAATGTCAAAAGGTTAAAATTTTTTCCAGGAATGATATTAAGTTTTAAAAACAAAAATTTAAATATTTTCCCGCCATTTTCTTTTTGAGGGGGCAGGAGGGGTTTGAACGGGGGGGGGGTGAGAAAGCGACGTGAATTCAAAAAAAATTTTCATGAATTTTCTTTTTAAATGTCAAATTTTTCTTTTTACAATTATTTACATCGAAATGAAATTACGTAGGGACACCATCCGATCGTCCATTTCCACTTCGACCCCCCTCCCCTTTCCTCTCCCCCGGAAAATAAAAAGAAAAAAAAAACGACATCAATCATTCAAGTCGTTCTTTTTTCTTTTTTTTTTTTTTTTTGATATACGAACGACATCCCACGCAGTTTATTCCCTGGAAATTTTTTCCTTCCGATTTTCTTTCTTTTGTGAGCAAAAGGCATGCGTGAAAATTTCGAAATTCCCCATGACGAACGAATTCACAAATTATCGATTCCCCCCTTTTTTTTTTTTCAAAACCTTTCATCAAAAGGAAAAACATTTTTTAAAAAAAACTTTTCGGGCGAAATTCCAGAAAAAATAAAAAAATAAAAAATCTGCAGTATCCTTAACGAAAAAAAAACATTTCCGAGAAAATTTTTTTTTCTTTTTTTTTTATTTTTATTTTAAAGATGAAAATGGCGGAGGGGGAGTGGAGATGGGGGGATGAAAAAAGCGGAAATGAAAAAATTAAAGTTTTTATCGGTTATTTGGGTCGTATGATACGTAATAAAACATTTTCACTTCCTTTTTTTTTAAAAAAAGGGGAGCAAGTAAAAAACTGTTCCGAACTTTCCCATTCATTTTGTCAAACTATCGACTCCTATTCAATCATCATCATCATCATCATCAACATCATAATCACCATCATCATCATAATCATCATCACCAT